TCATTTAGTCACTTTCTCACTTCTTACCAGCATTCTGAACTGCTAGCAACAAATATCTGCTTCAACGAGCTTACAGCATCAATAAAAATCTTCTTTCTGCATGAATGATCAGAGGATAAATTAGCTCGGCAACACCATGTTGTAATGAAAAAAAAAAAAAAAAAAAACAACCCAGAAATGAATGTGCCAAAGATGCCACTAAAGGAGGTGGGTGCTGCTAAAAGCTAACTAATGATGAGCTTCCTACAAAGCTTAACAGTGTAAATAAGAAATATTTTTAATCATTTCATAAGAGAAAAAACTAACCAGAAGCTATATATAAACGAGAAATAAAGTTTGCACCTGAATATAACTGTTAACTATTGCATTATACTGTATACTGCAAGAATCCAAACAGAGAACTTGTACTCCTGAAAAAGGGCCAACAAATTACAAGGAGTAGCACAGACCCCCTCCTAAGCATATTTTCTCTGATCTTTACAATGAAGGCAGATGGTTTCTTTCAATGCCCTCCTGAGTAATGTTTTTCTGTCAAAGTGCTTGCATAAATTGCAAAAAAAAAAAAAACCAACAACCCCAAAATAGAAATAACCCATCCTGCGGATTTGGTTAACAGTGAAGAGCACAGTTTGCATCCAAAATTTTCCTCAAGTGGAATTTAAATCCCTTCCTCTCAGATCCTTCCTCCCAGCTGCAGTTAGACTTTATAATCCTGGCTGCTCCCAGACCCGATAAGTGTTTACAACTGTGCGATTGTTGCAGTCTCTAATCTGTTCATTACTTTTTTTGCATTTCAAAGTCTTTAGAAGCACAGATAGTAATTATTCTGAATTTGTTTGTTTCTACAAAAATAGTTGTAGGTTTTTGATTTTTTTTTCACTTTAACATGTCTATTGTGTGTGTGTTTGTACACACACACATACACATATATATATATATATATATATATATATATATATATATATATATATATATTCCATGTCCTATTTCATTAACAACTGTACACTGTTCTTTCTGAGACGCTTTGCTGTGTTTAAAGCCAGGGTTACACTGTGCGATTTTTTTTTGCCCTTTTCGGGCAGACTTTCAAGTCGTGCAAGAATTTTCCTATCGGCCAAAATTTCAGCCTGATCGTGCGTCGTGTAGTGTACAGGGGGTAACGAGGGGCGATCAGCCTCTCACGACCACCTCCCGATCTTGAATCGTGAGATCGGGAGAAAATCAAACGTGTGATTTTCAGTCGTCCATCGTGAGCAAATTGCTCAGTGCGCAAACAAGGACTCTTCTTCTTCCCCTAAGATGAAAACACAGAAGCATGGCGGGGGTGCGGGTGTAATGTCGCTCTTTCTGTAAAATTGACAGACCGTAGTAGCAACGTTTGCTCAGCCATGTCTTTGTCCAAATACGTTGCTGCCTTTTCTTTTTAGGGCTTTCAGAAAAAAATGCACAAATTGCCAAGGCAGTGCGTTTTACTCTAGTGAGCTTCATATTGCTCTTCTACTGGTTTGGCTTCCAGATAGATGAGTCCCAGTAGTGCCATCTCTCTCCGGAGCTCAGTCTGATGTGTTTTTAGACGTGCAGTCGGTCGCACATGCATCGTCAGCTGTGAACTCGCACTGTGTGAGCTGCAGCTGCATGCAAGACTGAAAAAAAAAATCGTACAGTGTATGCCTGGCTTAAGGTTTACCAATTTTGTTCTCTTTTATAATATTTAGTTTCCTGAATCTACCTCTAAAGGAAAAGGATGGGAACCGCAAAATTCTAAATAGCCTTCTCTTTTTTGAAAAAACACAAAAAATGTTCCTCTCACTTAAGGTGGATTTTCACTACTGGTGAAAATTATTTAACAGCTCTTTAACAGTGCTTAACAGGAGATGTTTTTTGTGCCACCGAGCTGGAAGAGCTTTAACTAGGTAGTTATGCTGTACGCCTGCGGAAAAGGAGCGGAGCGAGAGCACAACTGGGAGAGCCTGAGTTTGTCAGATTTGACCGCACACCTGTGGACGAGTGTGAGGGTAAGCGCTGCACCCCCGTTTCACTGCATGCTCAGACTGGTAGATGTGCACCTAGATAGGTGGCACAAAAAAAACAAAAAAAAACATACACCATAGCAAACCAATGAGGCGCCAAAATTTACAGGCTGAGCATTTTCCGCGCTCAGACCTAGGGCTGTAAAGAATTACAACAAGGGTTATAAACCAGATAGTATAGATGTGCAAGACAATAGAAACAAATGGATAAAAGTCAGTAGCTGGCGGATCATACGTAATGACATAGCATAACAAGCCCTGCTGACCTAAAGTTGCACTGCAGCTGAAAATAAACGGACCACTTGAGGCTTGATGAACCTCTGTAAGGAATGATCTAGACGTCACTTGTGTTTGAGGCTCTAACTGATCGCAGGTGATGGATCCTGGTAATTATTTTCTTTTGTCATTTTAAAGTCGTAAGGAAGCGGCTGTTCCTTACGGTTGCATTTCTGAATTCTCCAGAGTGGTGCCCGACTTTACACAAGTGAATAAAGTGGATATGATTGGACGATTATCAAGCGGGTGGGATTTGTTGTGACGGAAGGTTTGCAAGCTTTTTTCGTTGTGGCCCATGTCTCGGAAGCATCTTGCTAACCAGTTAGCAACTTAGTGCTAGTAGGTTCCCAATGGGAAATTCCATTGGGACCAAGTAGCACCAAATTGGTGACTTAGAAACGAAACTGTCAAGGAACGCTATGGACAGCGGAAACATGCAAGAGGAGGAGAGTTTTCTGTCAGAGGTCGTGGATGAGTCTCCTTCCTAGGGAGGAAGTTGTTGCGGAAGAGGACGCCAGGGCGGCAGAAGCTTTGTTTAGTGTAGAAGGCTTACAGCCGTACATGTTTGAGCCCTTGCCTCGCAACGCTGCCAGTTCTGTTAGCTCTATGCCTGCCGAAGATGCAGACGTCCATCCCCGTGAACACTGGGATGTAACTCAGCGGTAGTGTAAATAATGATTCTTATTCCTTATTTCAACCGTTGCGTACATTAGCTGCGACATATGAATCAAGATACTATGACCAAAAAAATGTTATTGACAGATGACTGTTGATATATGATTGGCCCAATTTAGGTGTACAAGATGATGTATAATTAACTGACCTGCATTAAATAACCAAGAAAAAAAAAAGTTTTATATTTATATTTTTGGACAATATAGTCTGATAAAGATTACATTTATATACATGTTTAAGCCAAAATGATTTGACACTTAAATATGATTTCCCTACAACTTTAAAAAGGTTCACCCTTTACAATAAACACCCTTTCTTCTCTGCATGCATCTTATATTTTTTACGTTTTTAAATTGATTTATTACCTGATAGCCTGTTGAGATGAACCATCCCATTTCGAGGGGACTATGGCAGATATTTTCTACATAGCAATGATATCCAAATAGCGCAAATAGTGGATGCCTTTAGTTGTGGTTTAAAAACCAAATACTGAACCAATTCTATGGACCTTTTTTCTCAGTCTTGTAGTTTTTGTCTTCCCCAATTCATGCTTCAATGTAGAGACATGAGTATAGAGATAAAAAAAAAAAGCCAGAAATCCCCATGGAGAAGGATTACAAATATTTCAATTATTCCCAGTAGGTGGCCATCTTTGTTTATTTATATCTCAAAATGTTACCAGAGCTCTGCTAATGAAAGACCAAGCGAGGATTAGACGAAGTTGATACCAGATATAAAAATGTAGCAGGGTGGGATTCATCTTTTTATACATCACCATCGTGCATGGACATGTTAGAAGTTTCTGCAGTTGTAGAAATCCAAGCAACAATCCATCAGCCTGCAATTAAAGTAGTTTAGATGCAATGGCTAGGCAGTATTTACAGAGAAAAGAAAACACCAACTCTACCAGCCTCATGCATGTCAAACCAACCCGAACCTTTCCCAGAAAGGGAAAGCAAATAAAAAGACAAGGTACATAAAACGGAGCACAGTTACACAAACTATTTGCTTTTTTTTTTTGTTAAATACATTTCCCTTAAATATGTGCTTAAATATCTAGTTGGTCTTCTTAAAATACTTATTTGTTTCTGCAGCAATTTATTAAGTGTTAATATGCTATCATATAAACCTATATCTTTATGCATCAAATGCATTATCACTCGTCAGTCAGGCAGCCTCGTCTCTTCACTGACTTGCTTTCAATGCAGAAGAGGCAAAGCAAGCAAACATTGGTGAACATAATCTTTGCTGCAGGGTTAATTATTAGAATATACTTGTCCTTTTCAATCATTTTAATGTGGTTTCTTCATGGTTCTTCTCTGTGTGAAGAATTCAAAGCTTTTCATATTTCTTTCAGTACTAAAACACATTGCATTTCCATGCAACATACTCTTAAGACAAATGAACAGAGACGGGGGATCTGGAGCCAACAAGCCATCTCTATGTATGGGTTTGTTCTGCCCAGCCACTGAACCAGGTGAGTCCAATCTGCAGAGTGAATTGACCTGTGCAGATTGGACTTACCTGGTTCAGTGGCTGGGAAGATCATATACATGACAATATGCAACGAAACTACAGATGAAATATCTAAACTATATTTCTGATTGATGTTAATTGCACTGCAATATTAGATACATGTATTACAAGCCCCTCCACCCACACAGCTTGACCATAAAGTCCCCTAAAGCAAAGGAAAGGATGGGAAAAGGCTGAGAAGAGGATTAAAAAGCAGGCAATACACACAACCAAAGGAGCCAACGGTAATGATTAGAGCAATAACTTTAGAACAGCTAGCTGTTGTTGGTCTGTGGGGGAGTGGGTGGACACGATTTTACAGCAGTGAAATTTTAAACCTCAAAATGAAGAACTCTTAAACTAAGCTGTTCACCATGGAGGCAAAACATTAGAATGAATAAAAGTTAACCTGCTATTTATAATGGATCCAAGGTGAATGAGAAAAAGTCAAAATTCACCATAGCATTCATGAATGGCTATGCAGAGATAGAGACATGTACTTACCCCTTGGTTTCCATTAAATCGTATCAATGGCTGTAATGACAGGACCTGCAATTAAAAAAAGACAGAAATTAGGAAACGTTTAAATGTAAAACAAAATGTTTAAATTCTTGAATCAAATTATTATACATTTGGAAATGATTAAAAAAAATAACAAAGCAGCTCCTTAAATTATCTCTCAACCACATTCAGATAAATGTAACAACTTGAAATAAGGTTAGGCTCATCACTTTCCTTTCTAATACAGCTGGTAGCGAGCCATCTCTTTATTTATACTTCTAAAGGCTTAGGCTGCTGGAGGACAGAGGGACAACTTTTCTTCATTCCAGTTCTCTCTCTTCTCCAGTTCTGCAGTATTTGTTAGTTCAATCCATGACTTCTTGTTCTTCTTTTTTCTTATAGTAGCTTCATCAGGTCTGGTCTCGTTTGGCTTTTACTCCATCGTGGAGATAATCAGCTGGGCTGCTGCCATCAACACCTTTGTTTAAGGTCCTTTGTGATGACCTCGTTTTCAGTGCCGAGTCCTATTGGTCTTCTAGTCATAGCTATAGGCTCAGCTTTAACTGTGACCAACTGTAGGTGCTTGCTTTCATCCCTTTGGCAATAAAACTGGCTCAGTTTGTCTGCTTAACTCTTTCTATCCTAGACAGAGTGACCATAGAGCAAGTTTACAATTACCTTTTCTAAAACAGAAAGTATTTATGAATCAGTGCTTCTACTTTTCCTATAATATGTTTGCTTCCCTCTCACTGAAACCCAAGTCTGGTTCTACTGGAAGTTTTTCCAGTTAAAAAGGGAGTTTATTTTTCCCTGGCCCACCTTTGCTGCATGCATGTATGCTTGGTAAGAGGGATGGCTGTAGAGTCATACACAAAATCCCAAATGCCAGGAACATCTGTCATCATGTACTCAGCCAGCTAGATTATGTCCTGCACTGTCAATGACTCGATGCAATCAGCTGGCTTTGATAAGAAAAAAAAACTTTAACCAATCTGACTGAATGATTTGATTTGTCTCTTTAAAGTGCATTGAGATAGCAAAGTGTTGTGAATTGGCACTATATAATGAAACTGAATTTAGGTGAATTAAAGTTTGAGTGTTTATGAGTATTTCTTTGATACAGGTCATTACTATATAATTTGTAGTCAACAGGGTGAAATGATTAACAGGATAAGAAACATGATGTAGACATTTTTCTTTTATTTTAAGAATTTATGTTTTTATTGCTCTGCTGTGTGCAAACATGGACATAATGCCTTAAAGACCACGGTTAAATTTTTGCTTTTTAAGTTTTTCAATAAACCTAAACAAACTGTATAACTTCTCTCTCTTTTCTTTTTATTCATCTAAATAATATGTAAACACTTGTGTGCAGTGGATCAGAATTTGAGTTTAATTGTTTGGTCTACAAGCATGAGAATAAAGTAGAGCATTTCTTTTCCGGTTACTTGGGACTGGGTTGCAGATCCTCAGGAGTGAATATGAAAAGGCTTTTAGAAACAAATCTGCTAAATATTTTAATTCGTGTTTTTTTTTATTATAAACATACTTTTAAAAGGGTGCCAAAATGAGAAAAAAAAATATATGTTAACCCTTTAGAATGACCCACAAATCTTTTGCCTTTCACCAGTTATTTTGGTTTCTCTAGATGCTGCAATATCCTGTTCAGTTACCGTTACCATTTCTTAACTTCATCGTAAAAGCTTAACGTTCTCAGTTGTCACCCTGACTGATTAAAACACACAACTTACTGTACTTTTTTTTCAACCCTTTCATTGGTTTTCAACCCATTAGTCATTTGTGTGATGTTCTTTTTTAATGCTTTAATTTAAACTTAACTAAAACTTTTGAAACCTAAAATATGTTATTGAATACATGTAGACATGTCATAGATTAATTAAATGATGTAATAAAAATAAATAAATAATAGACCCAGACACAGTTATATCCATATTTGGGAATAACTAAATGTAACAGGACAAAAGAATTGAACAAGTTAAACAACTGTACAGCAAGAGAATGTTTCATTTCCAGATTGAAAGGTGCACATTAAGAGAAACAGTAAATTTATACAACTTTAAAACTGTGCAGCTTTTAGCAATCCCAGCCCAACAGCCCCCACCCCCCAAAATGGTAAGCCTGCTAACATAGTGCTACCCTCAGCCTGTTCATTTCAGTGGGCTGCTGACATGCCACTATTCTCTGGGACCTGAGCCCAGAATGTTCCACAGGGCTAACCTTAGGGACAGCGACTGGGTCCAGACCGCCGATTGAGGCTCCCACACTCAGCCAGCCAGCAACAGAATGGACATGATCTACACATGGCCCATCTTTGCTGACAAGCTAGCTGCACAGTAACCAATAACCCCACTTTTCTCTATACCGTTAATATTTGATCTTAGACAGCACATTTCCCCATTTTTGCTTTGTTTGAAAAGCAGTTAGCTTTCAACAAAGAGAAAAAACTGCATCAACTACATCTATAACAGTTAAGAAAAGAAGAAACTATGTGAATTCGAGAACGAATTCTGGTCGACTTTAACAGCCCAAACAGGCTAGAGCAGGTTACCGTTTAATTAGAAGATGCAGGCCTGCCCCTTTAGGAAACACTGTCTTGATGGAGCTCAAACAGAAAAATGAGCCAAAAACACAATAAAAATAGACAATTTTAATATATTCAAGAATTGTTTGAGTTTTAATTGGAAATATGCAAAGGAGTAGAGAAGTCTAACTACAGATACGAGTTAAAATAATTTTTTTGCTACACTGCCTCACTGATCAGATGTAGTGAAAAGATTAAAGGAGTGAAAAGAGCACTTTGTACTCCATAAGGGTGAAATGACAGTGCCTAAATTCTCAGTGAGCATTCATCATCACTGATTATATCCTACTGCTCTGTCCCTTTAAAATGACTGCAGGCATAAAACCAAGTAACAGATGTTGGCTTTATTGGACCCAGTTATTGGTGCTTTTACAGGAGCTGGCTCTTCAACACTAGCAAGACATCCTTTGAAGCTTTTCATGCCTCTTACTGATGAATGCATCAGTGTGTTTGATCTTCTGCTTCAAATGGAGCCTTCAGTTTAAGATGCTTTCACCCTTTCTTCATTGTCACTTTATGTCATATCTGTCACAGACCTCCCTAAGCTCTCTACTGTGGCAGTCTAAGTGGGTAGACAGTTATCAAAGGAAGCCATTTCTGTTCTTTCCTGCAACAGGTCTGAGATGCTGCTGGCCAAATCCCTAAAAACATGCTAATCCAAGCATCAGTTTTACTCATAAATAGAACTACAATATCTAGGTCCTACAGCAAGGTCTTCACAGAAAACTAAGCAGCAGGTAAAAAAAAAGTACCTTAATGAAAAAATAAACATTTATTTATCTAAAACAGATTTGAAACCTTTAGAAATTAATGCAAAATTACTTTGCAAACATTGCCTAGAAATAACCAGCTTGACTAGTGAAAAAAAAAACTGAAAAATAAAACTGGCTCTGGCACCCTTTTTTGGAACACAATAAAAGTACTATCATTGAGCCCGCTTCACCTTCCAAGCAGCTTTTATTGCATTTCATTCAACAAGGTACCGGAAACAGTTCTCAATGATTCTGGTTGATAATTGCATGATGGTCCATGCAGAATAGTCAATGATATAAACTAGGAATGCACCAAAACTTTAGCCACCCAAAATTTTCTGCCCATTTCCAGTTCTCTATTGGCGAGATGTGGGGTACACACACCGGACAGGTTGCCAGTCTATCGCAGGACAAAATAGAGACAAACAACGCACTCACACAGTTAAGGACAATTTAGAGAAGCCAATTAACAGTCATGATTTTGGACTGAGGGAGGAAGCCGGAGTACCCGGAGAGAACCCACGCATGCCTAAGGAGAACAAGCAAACTCCATGCAGAAAGACCCTGGGCCGGGAATCATACCCTGAACCTTCTTGCTGCAAGGCAGCAGTGCTACCCACTGGGTCCCTGTGCAGCCATATGGTTCTAATATTTGACTTAATGTCTTTCAGGGTTCCTTTTTCCGGCATTGGTTTGCTTATTTTTTTGCTTTCGGCTTCGGCATTTAAGTGCATCTCTAATATAAACCCAAACTACATTCTCTGACAAACAGAGGAATTTATTCACACCATGGCAACACACTGAATAATCTCTCCTTTTCAGGCTGTTTGACATACATCAGAGAGATGTTTTTATAGATTACCATTTCTAAAATACTTTGAACAGTCTGTCTGGTCCCTACAGCCATCCATGTCACATTCAAAGTACCTAAAGTATCCATTCTGATGTTCTGATTCAACTTCGCCAACCTGCCAGCAACCAAGCCTAATAAAAAAAACACATCTACCATTTGCGTTCCTAATAAAGTAGCTGGTTAGTGTGTCGAGGAAAAGAGGAAGTTAGAGAGCTAGCCATACATAAACAGTGAGGGCAACACGGCAGCCTCAAACAGTAAATGTCGCTACATAGAAAATGTTCCTTAATTCAACAAGTGGTAGAACTGATTAAATTCTAAATATAAAATTTGACCCATTTTGTTTTAAGGTAATTCAACAACAGCAGTGTGCATTAACTACAAATTTATCTATGAGTTTAACACATTGGTGGTAAAAATATCATTGGGAATAAGAAGGAAAGTCATCAGTCAAGACTTTCTTCTAAAGAAAAAACAAAACAAATCTATACCCATTTCTGTGTTGAAACAGTGAAGGCCATCCTGCAGATTTGCCAAGAGAAAACTATGATTTGACTTAATGGTGAAATGCCTAAATTTATATGGCACATCTTCAAGTCAGAGGAGGCCAAAACTCTTTCTCACTACTTTCAGTCAGACACTCAGACATCCATATGCTAGCTACATGGTAACCACACCTGCTTAGTATCGATCCTCAGAGGTGCTGTGCATACTGCAGTACTGTAATCTGCTAAAAGGGAATGTAGGATGATACACTAACGTGTCACTCGGTTGAAAATACTGTCATAAATAATTACATAATGCATCAGGATTAAAAAGGTTTTAAAAACAGTTACTTGCA